ATCAGAAAAAAACCAGCAACAAAGGATCCGAGCCGACCCTTCTTGAGGTCTTCAGCGCACTGTTTGAGGATCCTGAAGGGAGCCAGCAGCTAAACAAACAACAATCTTCTGACGAGTTTCCCCTTGTCCCGGCCTGCGCCCTGGGTTCCTGGCCAGCTCCAAGCTCAAACAGGGAGCAGCTGGAATATTTCCACGTGCCTGCCTTGGAGTTGGATTCCCAGTGGTGTCGTCTCAGGGACGGCCACTGCTTGCTGTCGCCTTGTCACAGCTGTGGGCCTTCAGACTTTCCAGAGGTCCAGACCCCACAACTGGGAATGATGCCTGATGCTCACAGCGGGGATGCGCTAGCTCTAACTTGAAGCAGGGGTGAGGGACACAGTGTTGCCAGCCCCCTGGAAAATGGCATCAGCATCAACACTTACGGTACTCCACCCACATCTGTTTATTATAATTATCAGATATGTTTGTTTTCACTTGAACACCACCCTCCGGTCAGCTCTAGGGTTCCTACACATCGTCGTTCTCAGCGTCATCTGCCATGGGTTCTCCAGCACAGGGGCCTGTGCCTCCAACGTCCTTTGTGTTCACTCCGTAGAAGTCTACCTCTCTTTCATTTACTCGTTCACCAGATGCCTACTGAGATCCTACAGTGTGTAAAATGCCACATTGGGAGGGTGGGGAAGGGCCAGGGGACAGCTGCCTTGAGGAGTCCCCTGTCTAGTGTGACAGATGACTTTACTCAGGAAGCCCGCATTAAGCGTCTGTCACACGGCCAGGCACTGCTGGGTATTGACATACAGTAACCACATGGGAAAAGGCCCTGCACTCAGAAGCACAGGGATGAGTTGGATGGAGAAGTCAATGCACAAATATGTCACTACATTCTCTCTATACCTGTTGAGAAGGCAAAGAACAGGGTGCCACGCTCGAGAGGACAGCAGTGTGTGGGTGAGGAGGCAAGAAGGACTGAATGTTGAGAAGGGTGGAAAATGAAACTCTGGCAGCAACGTGAGGACAGGCTACATCCTTTAGAAAGTGCAAGCCCTTTGCCACACCAACGCCATGTAGGAATTTATCCTAAGAAAACAGCTGCGAGCACAAAGATGTGTGAATACTGAGTCCCACAGAAGTACTGCTTAAATGTTTTAAAATACTTAATTATAGTATGTGCATAGGATAGAATATAGTGCCACCATGAAAATGATTAGACATTGATATGTGGGCATGAAAACTACATATGATATAGTGAATTAAAACTTTATAGCATGGTATATGAGCCCATTTTACTTAGATTACATACACAGTAAAGCTTCTGAAAGCAAGTGTGGTATAACATTTTAATAGTGGCTGTCCCACCTTGGCCCGGTAGCTCAGTTGATTAGATTGTCATCCCAATATGCCAAAGTTGTGGGTTCTATACCCAGTCAGAACACGTATAAGAATCAACCAATGAATACATAAATAAGTGGAACAACAAATCCCTCTCTCTCTTGCCCCCTTCCTCTATCACAGATCAATAAATACATTTAGCCCTGGCTGGTGTAGCTCAGTGGATTGAGCACGGGCCTGTGAAGCAGGAGGTTGCTGGTTCGATTCCCAGTCAGGGCACATGCCTGGGTTGTAGGCCAGTTCCCAGTAGGGGACACACGAGAGGCAACCACACATTGATGTTTCTCTCCCACTCTTTCTCCTTCCCATCCCCTCTCTCTAAAAATAAATAAATAAAATATTTAAAAATATATAAAAATAAATACACTTAAAAAATAGTGGCTATCTCTGGGTGAGGGAGATTTTGTAAGTCTTACATGTTTTTCTTCTGATCTTTTTTTAAATGAATTTTTTTGCATTAGGAAAAAAATACACAAATAAAGAAAAACCATCTATTGCTAATCTAAAGCAGAGGTGGCCCAAGCCCAGGTTACAGTAACAGGATGTTCAGGAAGAGAAGGGGTTACAGAAAGATGTGGAACTGCCAGCCTCAGATGACCTAGGACATGGGGCTCAGAGAGGGGGGGGGTGAAGAGAAGGTACAATGATGACTAGTTTCTGACCTGGACCACTGGGTGGCTGCAGGTGCCATTCTCCAGGCAGGGTGCACCAGAGAAGAAAAGGTTTGGATAGAAAGGCAAAGCTTCTGACCTTCGACACAGGAAATCTGAGTGCCTGTGGGACGTGCAGGGGCAAATGGCTGGCAGCTAGGTGTGGATCTCAGGAGAGCAGTGAGCTCTAGAGATGTGTGTGGAAGTCAGTCATTCAGTAATTGGCTAAGGGGGCATATGCAGTGTGTGGAGGGTGCAGAGTCCGCCACCCACACCCTAGGCCGGTCTGAGAAGGAGGCTCCAGCAAGGGCAAGGAGCGCTGTGCAGAGTGGAGGGCATCCAGGGTTGTGCCCGGAAGCCAGAGGAGCGGAGCGTCACAGACCCTTTCAATGGCTTCCAGTCGGGCTGACAAGTTTTGGATGTGGATTCTGCTTATTTTCACAAGATCCTTAGACACATTTCCTGAAGGTGGGAGTCAGGATTGGGAGAAGACAGGAAATTCGGCTGCCAGTGAGCGTGTCCTCCGAACAACCCAGTGTGATGGGTTAGAGGGAGGAAGGGCCCAGCCCCAGAGGAGAGAGCAGGGGTTAGAGGGGGATTCCTAGACTCCGAACGAAAGTAAGGCCTGCCATCGCCATTCTTTCTCCTGGAAGAACTGGGGGCAGTTGGGAGGGTGGGACAGCCCTCTGTAGCATGAGACGAATTTAATGAAATACACTCATTGTTCTCATCCCCGGGTGGGTGCCTTCTGCAAGGATGTTATAGGAAATTAATCCATTAGTTGCTGCCAGAAACCAACTGAAAGAAACAAAGAAATAAACAGAGCCTGTCAACATGCAGGGACCTGGATGGAATCCCAAGATGAGCTGCACATTATAAGGGTTATAACTCAGAACACGCTCAGCGCCAGCAGTCTTGGGGCTGGGATTCCACTGCTGCTGGTGTAAGCGCTGGCCCTGGAGTCTGACTTTCTGGTTTTCATCCAGGCTCCCAGGGGGCACGGTGCTTAACCCTTTCATTCCTCAGGCACTTTGCCTGTAAAGTGGGACTAGTAACAGTCATTTTACATTAGGTGGGTTGTGAGGATTAAATGGGCCCATCACTTCAACCTATGAAAAGCTCTGGCACTTGGCAAAATATCTGGGGGTATAATTCCATGTCCAGAAAATGTTAGCTGCCAATGTCATTATTGTTATGCTTCTAATGATATTGTTATGATGCATTGCTTTCTCAATCTGGGAATGAAGAGATGGGGAAATTGAGGCACAACTTCATTCATTCAGTAAAGATCCATAAGGAGAATGTTAAACGAACATCTGTTTGCTCAGGCTAGAAATTCTGTAAGTTTACTGAAATAATGCAATACACAGATTTAAAAATAAACACATCCAGGTTAGTTTTCTAGAGTGGATTTTGAGGTTCCTATGAAATTGAAGGGTTGGAGGGTGGGATGTTAGAGTGAGCAGTTGGATACCAGATTGAAGAGTAAGACTAAGGAGAAGAGGAGGCAACATTGAGAAGGGAAAGGAAGTTGTGGTTGTTCCACTTAGAGAGGTAGAAGGGGCAGTACTGTCTGAAGCTGGTTATAATGCAAAGGCTAACAGTCATGGAATTTAGAAAAAGACCCAGAAACTGTTTTCAGGGTAACCATATAGTTCCTTACCACACCTGCTGGCAAGTAAGAGCCAACACGGATGTAACTTACTGTATGCCTGGCCCTGTTACAAATACTTTCTATATCGTAACTGATTCGATCCTTGTGACAACCTGAGGGGGTAGCACTATTATTGTCCTACTTTTACAGGTGGGATAACTTAGTCACAGGGAGAAAAGATAGTGATAGAACTTCCTACGCAGGGCCACAAGGCCACACAGAGAGTAAGTAACAGATCCAGAGTCAAACCCAGACCTCCTGCTCTGAAGTCTGTGCTCTTAATCACCGCTGTAAAAGATGCCAGATGTCCCTGTTACGGCAATTATGTAGTGACTTCCTTACTTTGTATGATGAATCTCTTTAACTGTCTAATAATATTGCTCTTTAGAGAAGACAGTGCTTTCTTTCAATACATGGTTGATTATTTTAGAAACTCTTGTCCACACTCCTAGAATTTTTCTGCTTTCAGTTTCACATGGTCTTTTTTTTCTTGCCACAAGCCGTGTCTTTTTTTCCATGCCTTTTATCCACTCAGCTCCTGCAGGCTCACCCGTGTCACCTCTTTGCTTTGCTTGAACCATTGCACGTATCTTCTTTGCATCTTTGCAGAATGCCTGGCCTATCTTTCAAGACATCCAGTTCCTTTAAGCCTCCTGCTCAAACTGCTTCACAGAGAAAGTCTTGTTTCACTGTGAAGTCTCCTGACGTCACTCCAGCCCATTTTTTTCACTTTGAAAAATCCATATGGCATTTATTATTTGTACATTTAATCTTCTAATTCATTCTATTCATTCACTCATTCATTCACTACACCTCTCTAGTACCTCTTGTGTACTGGCAGTTTACAAAGATGAGTGGAACCTGCCTATGAAGAGCTTACAATATAGTTAAAGAACCCTGCCTGGTGTGGGTCTGTGGTTTGGCTGAAAGTGCCAGCTCATGAAACAAAAGGTTGCTGATTCGATTCCCAGTCAGGGCACATGCCTGTGTTGTGGGCCAAGTCCCCAGTTGGGGCTCGTGTGAGAGGCAAGCAATCGATGTATCTCTTGCACATTGATATTTCTCTCCCTCTCTTTCTCCCTTCCTTCCCTCTCTCTAAAGATAAATAAATAAAATCCTTAGAAATATACAGTAAAAGAAAGAGATATAAAAGCAAATAATCATTACTTGGACATTTATCCAGTACCCTTTACATAGCAGACATTTCATTTTAACCCTGACATTGTTCCTGGAGTGCAGTTTCTAAGCTAGGGGACATGTGGACTAATGTAATTGACATGACTGATTTTGGTTTTGTGTTCGCCTAGACCAAAGATGCCCTCTTCACAATCCTGCATGACCTCCGGCCCCAGGATCATTTCAGTATTATTGGATTTTCCAACCGGATCAAAGTGTGGAAGGACCATTTGGTGTCAGTGACTCCCAACAATATCAGAGATGGCAAAGTCTACATTCACCACATGTCGCCCACCGGAGGTACATACGAGTCCTTCTTTTCATGTTAGCTTTGACGTGATAATAAGTGAGTAGCTAAGTTTTCTGCCAAGAGACAAGGATTTGAATGCTGAAACTATCACAGGAAAGGAGATAACAGCTGAGAGCTTTCCCAGAAGCTTGTGTTTCTCTTGAATACTGATTCTGTAAATCCTCCTCTTCCATGCCCCAAACTAAGATGGTCAAGTAAGTTATGAGGGGGAACACCTGATAGGGTTTGGAGCCTTTCCTGGTTTATCTCAGAGATCATGAGTAATGAAGTTGTTTTTGTAAATTGTTTTAGGGTGTGGAATTAAAGCCAAATAGATGAGTTAGTTTTGTGTACTCAAATCTTAGCACCTTAGGAAGAAGCCAGTGGAGCTGCCCAGCTGCACCCTTAGTCCCTTTGGCAGGGCTGAAATGGTGGGCAGAGCAGGGACCCCAGGGGGTCCGGGAGACATCATGGATGGAAGGCGTGATGGGCTCTGAGCGTCTGCACGCTCGGCTTGGGTGTGGTGCCCAGGTGAGAGTGCAGAGAAGGGAAAGGTCGTAGAGAGGTCTAAGATAACCAGAGTATCGAGAGGCAGTCCGCTAGTGGTATCCAGCTGGACAGATGTAAGTTCCTTCAACTCAGGGCCTTCGTCTCACTCTTGCTGTCACCTTTGTCACTGGTGCAGTGCACACACGACAGCTGCTCAGTGTTGGACTGTTTACAGGCACTGATCCTGACCCTCCCCACTTTCCTAAAGGCCATTCATGGAGACACCATCTCTTGTTGTCATCTCGATTACTGTAGTTTGGTGGTCACCTAGAAACATACAAAACACCTAACAGTCTTCTTCCATTTGGGATTTTTCATCTTTCTTATATTCATCATTTCCTGTCCAAGACAAAGCTCTGACTTCCCACATGAGTTTCATTTGGAACTTCATCTTTCTTGGACCTGATTTGGACTCACAATGGGATTTCCTATCAGTCTCCACAACAGTGAGATTTAGGAACTGTTTTACTAGTTGATGGAGAAATAATAGATTGGATTTACTATGATATGGTACCATTGATCACTGACCTATGGCAGGAAGTCACAAGGCTGTAAAGTCTTTGAGAGGAGGAACTCTTATTTGTCTTTGTGTGTCCCCCAGCTCCTGGCACAGCCCCTGGCACATAGTGTCCGCCCAACAGATGTTTGCTAATTGAATTTATTTTAATGCTCTTGGTTACAATTAGGATGTTATGTGGAGGTGGGCATAAAGCTTTAGCAAACAGTTAATGTGTATTATGCTCTTTTGGAATCCAAACCTTAGAAACCTTATGGTTTCCTGTATTTTTTCTTGGCACTTCATTGCCTCAACCTGTGCAGGTGGACAGAAAATTAATCTCTTCCTCTCAAAGACATGTAATATGAGGATTAGAAGCATCAATTCTTTTTTAAAAATATTTTATTTATTTATTTTTAGAGAGAGGGGAAGGGAGGGAGAAAGAAAGGGAAAGAAACATCAATGTGTGGTTGCTTCTCGAGCACCCGCTACTGGGGACCTGACCCGCATCCCAGGCATGTGCCCTGACTAGGAATTGAACTGGTGACCCATTGGTTTACAGGCTAGTACTCAATCTACTGACCCATACCAGCCAGGGTGGAAACATTGATTCTGAAACCACATCGCCTAGATTTGAATACAGCTCCACCATCGACAAGTCATTTAATCTCTCTAGGCCTCAGTTTCCTCATCTGTAACATGGGGATAATGGTGGAGTTCTTATTAGGATGAAATGAGTTAAAACAGTTAAAGTATTCAGCAAACAATTGCCAGGTCTCTGGTTAGGTTACGTAACCTATAGTCACCCCACATACTTGGGGGGCTTGTACCCCTCCTCCCCAGTGTCACCCCTGCTAATCCTTGAACAATGGCATGTGAACCATAGCCGTGAGTGTGAAGCCAGGGGAAGGAAGTGAGTGCAAGCTCGAGCTGCCCTGTTTTGGTGTCCCACAGGCACAGACATCAACGGGGCCCTGCAGAGGGCTATCAGGCTGCTCAACAACTATGTGGCCCACAATGACATTGAAGATCGCAGTGTATCTCTCATCATCTTCCTGACGGATGGGAAACCCACCGTCGGGGAGACCCACACCCTCCAGATTCTCAACAACACTAAGGAGGCTGCCCGAGGCCAAATCTGCATCTTCACCATCGGCATTGGGAATGATGTGGACTTCAAGCTGCTGGAGAAACTGTCGCTGGAAAACTGTGGCCTCACACGGCGTGTCCATGAGGAAGAGGATGCCGGCTCACAGCTCATTGGGTCTGTTTGTCTTCTTGGGACAATAATGAGAGGTTCTCAGAAGGGGGTGCAGGGTTGGGGTTTACGAGCAACTCAGAAATGAAGATGGTTTGTTGCACCTTAACCTTGAGTCTACTAAAAATGACCATGACTCATTATGCTGGGAGACATCATGTTGGGTTTTGAAATCCATCAGGCAGGCCTGGCTGTAAATTCTGGTCCTGCTTTGTGACTTTAGGCAACATTTTAAGTTCCCTCATTATAAAGTGAGATTTATGGTCAATTGACAGAATTTAATGAGAAAACCTGTGTGAAGTATTGGCAGAATTGTTATCATATGTGAGATGTTCAATTAGCTCTTCTGGTATAATTGTCTTCTTGACATTTCAAAGCACTTCTGGGCATAGTCACTCTGATTCCGCCCTGTGCAGTAGCTAGGAGAAGTAACTGTTGAGTAGTATTGATTATTAAAATGATCATATTTTTCTTTGGAAGTGAAATGACCAATTGACACTAGTCACTGATTATGTATATATATATATATATATATATATATATATATATATACTTTTTTTTGAGGTGGAGAAAAAACTAGAACTTAGGTCTTCTAACTCAGTTCAGTGCCTTCCCTTTGATATCATGATGCCAAACATAGGGTATAGCTTTGCAGTTGATTCAATAACGTGCTGACTCCCAGTTCAGTATTACTGCTTTAATCCACTTTGTAGCATTTGGTGTAAATAATTAAAAGGAAAGATGAGCTTTAGGTACATTCAGGGGTGTTTAATAGACATAATTAAAGAATATTCATCCAAGAGAAATCTAATTGGAGGTCTCGAAGATGGACGATAGAGACGGGTCCTAGGGATGGAGCTGGCTACCATTGTTTCCCCAGACTTCTAATACAAGATTTAAATAAAAACACAAATTAGCTTCCCACATTTTCAAAATCATTCAAAATAACATTCTATTTAACTTAATGCTTTAATTGAATATGTGCTTCATAATCAAAAGCAAGTACATTGAAACAAATCGACGGTAATGTCCTACTAAAAATACTGCCACTATCCAACATTTATTGAGAATTTATGATATGACAGACATTTTGATGAGCATTACCTCCGTGAGCCCCACAGCAACCCGAGGAGCGGCTGTGCTAGGGCAAAGGCCAAGTGCCATGCAGATGACCATCCTGTAACAGTCTGTCAGGCTCAGTTCTGCTCCGTGAAGTGCATCATTCAGAGATTTCCGGTTTCTTCCATTTCATTGCTCTGTGCCCCTTAGATGTTGTCTTTAACTCTAAGGTTGAAATGGGCACCATCCCTTCTGCATTCCAGCACTGAAAGTGGGGGAGAAAACGAGAGCCAGAGCAAGCCATTTTATTTCAAGCAAGCACTGCAGAAGGTACCCATTTCACTTCCACTCATACTCCACTGCGGAGAACGTGGCCCTATGGGACCACGATAGAGGCTGAGAAATGTAGTTTGTAGATGGACGGGCATCACCAAGTTAAAACTGAATTAGTAGAGAAGAAGGGGAGACTGGGTCTGATGAAACAGCTAATAGTTTTCCAAAGTAATTATTGTTAATGTTCCAATTTTACAGTGGAAGAAGCGGAAGTTCCGAGAGGTTAAGTTATGTGTCCCAAGATATACAGCAAGGAAATGGCTGAGATAGAAGTCTAACTCCACAGCCTGTGCTGCCTAGATCTTTGGAAAGGGATCTTAATTGTCTCTTTACTCAGAATCTAGCAACCGTGTGACATAACTAGAGAAAAGTTAGTGCAAGCAAATGCTGCATTACTGCCGCATAGTGGCAAAACCAAGGCCTCAAGTATAATGTGCTACTTAACGCACATTGGCAATAGGCATATGGTCCTAAGAAAGATGTTTTTAAAGGCCCTTTGAGAAACTCGGGCACGTACAGAGGAAAGTTATCCAGAGTGGTCAGAGAACCTTGCAATTATATCACCTGAAGAATAGTTAATGAAACTGGGGGTTGATTAGGCTGAATAAAAGATGACCCCTAGGAGCGGTGTTTGTCAAACCCCCAGACAGCTGTCATGGTGAAGCTCGATTAGGCTAATTCACAGTGGGCTGCTCCAGAAGCAAGCGTGAGACCAGTGGGTGGAAACTGCAGGGAGAAGATTGCAATCTATCAAATGGAGGTTCCTCCTCCTCCTCAGAGCAGTTGAAAGAGCGGGGGAAGCCTTATGAGACAGTGAGTTCTCTGTCACCACTGGTGACACCACTAGTGTTCAAGCTACTGCTATATAACCTCCTATGAGCAATGTTCTCCTGGGTAGAAGGTTGGACCTGGTTCAGGGTCTCCCCTCCAACAGCCCACAGTTCCCTCTAGGACCTGTCCTGCCTGCAGTCAGAGCTGGGCCCTGACACATACTCACTCTCATTCTCTCTCTCCCTCTCCACTCCAGCTTCTACGATGAGATCAGGACCCCTCTGCTCTCTGACATCCGCATCGATTACCCACCCAGCCTCGTGGAGCAGGCTACCAGAACCCTCTTCCCCAACTACTTCAATGGCTCAGAGATCATCATTGCTGGGAAGCTGGTGGACAGGAAGAGGGATCGGTTGCACGTGGAAGTCACAGCCAGCAACAGTAAGAAATTTGTTGTACTGAAGACAGATGTGCCCTTGGAGCCCCAAAAGGTGGAGAATGATGTCACAGGAAGCACCAGGCCCAAGGGTGATGGTGAGGGGGACCCCAACCATCTCGAGCGTCTCTGGAGCTACCTGACCATGAAGGAGCTGCTGAACTCCTGGTTACAGAGTGACGACAAGCGGGAGAAGGAGCAACTGAGGCAGAAGGCCCAGGCTCTGGCTGTGAACTCTCGCTTCCTCACCCCGTTTACCTCCATGAAGTTGAAGAGACCTGCACTGCAGACAGAGAAGCTAGATGAGAGCTATGGCATGTCCGCTGCAACGGGGCCTGAAACAGTGATGCAGAGCCTGCAAGGCTCCAACCTGCAGCCAGGTAACCCATCTCCGGGATGGCCGGAGGCAAGAGCCTAAAGTATCCTTTCTGCCTCCTTCTCAGGCCAAGGTCACCTCAGTAGTAGTCTGTTTTTATTTTGTTGTATTATAATTTTTGTAAGTAATCACCCCCATACACTACACCCACTTTTCAGGAAGTGTGTTCAATCGTTGTGTTTGGTTTGTTATAAACTGTGGATCTCTGTGCAGGAATTAGAAAAGGTGGCAGTTGTCTCAGAAATGTTGTCTGGTGAAGTCAGTCCATCAGTCATCACAACCAAGTGCCTCACATTCACCATACATTATTGGAGACACCATGAGGAATAAACGAATATATATACGCAAATTTCATTTTAAACTGTCTTTGTACATTTTTAAGTACTTTGGAGTTATGTCATTTTACATGTATGCTGGATTTTACTTTCCTGGGAACATAGGTGAGGACTAATTTCTGGATTCTTCAGGGAACACAGCCTTCACATACTAATTACTCAGCATCTAAAGAGCATTTTGATGGGGAAATGAGTAGTGATGAGAACAGGAGACAAAAAACGGAGGTAGTTCAACCAAAGCAGAGGATTATATTCTCAGTAATAGTTGTTTGGGAAAATGGTATTTTTTCAAATGTGTACCATTTTCATTAAATTTCCATCAACTTCACGTCTCCTAAGTAGGGGGAACTGATGTTACACGGGGACCTGCAAATGCTGCCTCATTTATTCCCCGAACTCTGAACTCTGAGAAGCACCTGGGAAGGGGAAGAGAGCATAAGTGTAGGATGCAGACACAGCTGAGGTTCAGCTCACCAGCCCTCCGGACCAGCTGTGCGGCGCGGGGCGGGCTTCTGCACCTCAGAGCTCCTATTCCCTCACCTGTAAAATGTAGGTGATAATAATTTCCCCGCAGGGCCACTGCAAGGATTAAATGTGTAAAGTGTTTGGCACATATGAGTGTTCTACAAATGTTAGATTCCCTCTCCCTTGAGGAACGTAGAACTAAAAATGAATAGAAAGTTCAGACCCCGATGGAGAGGTTAAAGCTGATGCATTGCCTTTTTAGATGGAGTGAAGCCCGTCTTGGCACAACTAGTGTGATCCGAGTTCTGATGAAAAGCAAGCTGTGTGATGCTATGAGAGAGCCATATAAAGAAATAACCAACTGATAGCTCCAAACAGTTGTTTGGAATAAAATTTTGCTGAAGCATTAGGTAGTACTCGAGACGATCTTTCTTCGCTTAAAGCTCTGATGATTTTTAGAATTTAAGTTTTAGTTTTTCTGAGTGGCCGTGGCAGCTGCCACTCACCACAGCTTCTCACATCATATGTGGATTAGAAGGCGCTTTCCCTTCATGGTCTGCCCAGTTCCACCTGCATCATGCTGGCCAGGGACCAGCATGGAAAAAACACAGGCATGTGGCCCCTTGGAGACAGTTTGAGCTTTAACTTCTGTGAGGGGCCAAAAGCAGTGAACAGGAGCATGATCTTGTTAATACAAACAACTTGAAATAATATATTAAATTTATTTTATGTATAGAAATTAATTTACTTTTAGGTGATTCTTTAATTAATTATTTATTTTGCCTGCTGCTTTATGGATTATCTTTACACGCATAGCGATAGACTCTGGATTCTAATTTATTTTTACATTTTTCTGGGTTTTTAAAAATTACAGTACAAAACCATGTGACATAAACTTACCATCTTAACCATTTTTAAGTGTACAGTTCAGCAGTGTTAAGTATATTGATGTGAAACAGATCGTCAGAGCTCATTTTTCTAGCAAACCTGAGAGTCTGGGCCCACTAAACAAGTTACTGCTGCCATAACTAGACCTTAACTATGATGCAACATTTTCCTCTATTACAAGCACAGAAATTACAGACGAGAAGAATATTATCTAATTTATAAAAGGATAAAATAATTAAGCCTCCACATGTTATACCTTTGCTTGTATGTTGTGAGGCGAAGCTCCCTCTTTAAAACAGATGATGTTTTTAAGTTGCCAAAAATGTATTTGAAAGCTGTATTTTACTCATCTCAACCCTCTCCTCTCTGTGCCCCTCACTTCCTCCTCTTTCGTGGGTAACAGTGAGTGTCCTTCTCCTTCTCTTTTGTAGGGCCTGCTCTCAAGAAACCATATGACCCGAGAATTAAAGTCTCCAAAACATCAGGTAAAGAAAACAGCATATGTGATTTGGGAGTCAGTAGGTTTAGGAAGTGGATGACCAGGAATTCCCTGAAACAGTTGAAGTACCAGTTTGTATTAGAAATGTGACGCCAGGACCCATGGTTTCTCAGCCCACGCCAGCAGCGGGCAGCAGTTCTGAGAACCAGGCTCGTCGCTAAACCATTGCATCCATACCGTGGACAACAGTCCTGAGGAGCCCAACAATAGCCCTGATCGGAGGATGGGTAACACTCACATTCTCCTCGTGACGGAGTTTAAAGACATTTGTTTTAGAGATCTGAAGTATGCATGCTTCCTGTGTCTGCTGTTACAAATATCTGTGACATTCAGATTAAAAAAAAATTATTGTATTATGTAATCCCTGGTTTAGAAGGAAGAATAGATAAAAATACCATAAAAATTTTGGGCCAGTTTTCTGGGATTATAATAAAAATCCAGCTGGAATAACAATGCAAGGGCTGGGTTGGATTCTTAAAATGTACACATCACTTTAGAAGTCTTGCTGTCCATGTGCCGGAGCCACAAGTTCACAAAATCGGGGACATCCCCGAGGTTAGCTGTGCGGACAGGAAACGCAGTCTCCAACGGAGAGAATGTGATTCCTTTGAACTCCCACTGCTTTAATGCAAGAATGCTTTCCTCTGGGACGCTGCAGGGAGTCAGACTTTCAGACTACTGCTCTACTGTTTGGAACAAGCGACATCTTCCCTTGTAAAGGGACTTGGACAGGAGATATGAAGTGGTATGAGCCCAGGAAATGCTCAGGGAACTGTCACATAGCTCTGTTCCTAGTGACTCTGTGTCCTTCACTTGCCACCAGCCCTCCATTGGGTTTGGTCATTACTCCTGTCGGACCAGAGTTGTGTGCATCGGGCACTACAAATGTCCCTAGTGCCATGGCACTCTGGTCATAGGAGACAGAGTGTTCTCATCCACATCTCTTCACTTGGGTAGTCAAAGGAGAAAGGAAATGTTTAGTGTCATGTGGGAAATTGAAGCAAGTGGGCTCAGTTGTCGTGGGGTATCTGGCAATAACTCTTCTTTCTGTTTCCTTCTTGCCTCTCAAGGCTTAGTTGTCTGTGTTTGGCTGAGGTGTGATGAAAGGGAGCATTGTATTTGGATTTAGGGGACCTGAGTTCAAACATCACCATCTACTGCTGATTGGGTAACTGTGATGAGGCGTCCACCTCCCAGTCCTCTTCTTTGTTTAGAAATTCAGGATCATTGACAGGATCAAATAAATAATACATGAGAAAAAGTAAAAGAGCAGTTACACATGGAAGGCACTCAATAATGTTTTTTTCTGTTTCTCTCCGGTTTCTTCCTGCTGTGGCAGCGGACGGAGATCCCCATTTTGTTGTGGATTTCCCCTTGAACAAGCTCACTGTCTGCTTCAACATTGATGGGCAGCCTGGGGACATCCTGAGGCTGGTCTCTGATCACACAGACTCTGGTAAGTTCTGACCACTGTAGTGGCCTTGGGCAAGAGCAAGGTAGACACCATATCTCCTCTGTTCCTAAGACAGGTGTCCAGGTATATGAGGGGCACATCACAGATGCTCAGTGAGGATTGTTGATGAACAGCTAAAGCAAATAGTCTGTGTGCTGACCTTGGAGGCAGGAAGATGTGCATTGGAAACCCCGCCCTCTGACCGCACTCAGGATGCAGCCCTGGGTACTCAGCTAGGGAGCTCCTGCTGTCTCCCTTGTAAAACAGAGTTAGTGCTACTCGCTGTGCTGGCCTCACAGTGCTATATGAATTCACAACACATTATTGTTATTATGTCTTTCCAATCAAAGGCTGTGATGGTGGGATGTGCTAAACTCATTTATCTCAGTTCCTCGGTGGTTGAGGTGTTAAGCCTGATGTTAATTACTCAGCTCTGTGCAGAGGACACAGATGTAGGAAGGGTTCTGACCCCTTTTGGTCTGTAGAGGAACTGCATTAAAGAGATTGGCATATAAAAAACTTCTCCGGTTACATTCAGGTCCTAGTACCTCAGGGATGGCCATGTGGACAGCCACAGTCTGACTTTGTGAGGACAAGCTTTGCAGTGGACATTCTGGCATTTCTCAGTTCTGAGAAAATGAGCTTCTTAGAAGGCTAGGTGACAGAGGCCCCGCAGCAAGATCACACAGATGATGTTGTTATGTAATGTTTGATTCTGGGCTCTTTACCTACCGCTCTCTCTTGCAGGGCTGCCTAGCCTTAGAGCAAAATCGTGGCTTGTTTGTAATTTAAAGGGCTCCAGTGTGAGATAGGGGCCTACCTGTATCCTTCCCTGGAGGTGCCCACCTCTCCTCAGAGCTATTCTGTCGTTTCTGTGTTCAGTGTGGTATCTATGATGGGAAGCTCAGTGGAAGATGCTTGGAGCCTTGAGGCAGAACTGTCTGACCTCTGCTCATGCTGGGGTTTTTCCTTTGCCAAACACTCTGTCCCAGAGAAAAGGAGTATTCCCCTGAAGTGTCCAAGGGGTTTCTAGTCAAGATGTATGGGAAGATTATCCTCAAAGCAGAGAAAACAAGAGTTGATTACATAACAAGATTTTATTAATACAAACAGCCTCTTTGGCTGAGAGCAAGTGCACTTAATGTGCATAAACTAATTCAGTCCCAAACATCTGGTGTAGAATCGCCATCTGTTTGGACAGCAAGGATTGCCAGGAGTCTGGCTCCCGGGCCTTGCTCAAGTCTAGGAGAGTTGCAGTTGTGCTCATGACAATGAAGGACAAAAGAGAAGAGTTCTATTTGCTGGCCATTGACAACTTGCCCATGTGCTAGCTTCTGTAATCCTCACCACCATCTTCTTAGGTTTCATACCCTCTTTTTACAAATGAAGACATTGAGGCTCAGAGTTTTAAAGTGACTTCTCCAGAGATGCACACCTGGAAAGTAGAACACCTTGGGCTTTTGGACTCAGCGTGATTCTAACCTTTGCATTATGCCACACTGCTCAGTTGCCAAATCAGCAGCAGTGGCAACTGGTGGATGAGAAATATGTCTCTTTGTCCCTACAACCAGAATGAAAGGAAATACTAGAGTAAACACAAACACATAAACCCTTTCTGTGATACATTGACCCAAATCTACATCATCTTTTCCTTCCCCCAAGATATTGATTGGACATGGGGAAGAAATTTCCTTGTAACTTCATGCATTTACTCATTTCTTCACTCACTCAGTAGACACTAAGGGGCCTCTACTCCCAAGTCAAAGTTCGTGGTGTGAGAGATACAAAGATAAGGCCAGGGAAGGAAGGAAATTCTGATTAGATGCCTTTAGCATGAAGGTGGGGATGGTTTTTCTAACCGCTTCTCTCTTCCCCTCTACCTTGGAGGTGTGACCGTGAACGGAGCGTTAATCGGGGCCCCCGCTCCTCCCGGCGGCCACAAGAAACAACGCACTTACTTCCGCACCATCACCATCCTCGTCAATAAACCCAACAGGTCATACCTTGAGATCACACCACACAGAGTCATCTTGGATGGTGAAGACAGGCTGGTCCTCCCCTGCAACCAGAGCGTGGTAGTGGGGAGTCGGGGGCTGGAGGTGTCAGTGTCTGCCAATGCCAATGTCACCGTCACCATCCAGGACACCATTGCCTTCGTCATCCTCATTCACCTGTACAAAAAACCAGCCCCCTACCAGCGAGACCACCTGGGTTTCTACATCTCCAGTAGCAAAGGCCTTTCCAGCAACTGCCACGGACTGTTAGGTAAGCAGCCATTCTTCCCAGGGGAGAGGAGAGTGCTCAGTTCCAGGAGTCCTGGCGTGAGCTGGTGTTGCCAATTGCTTTCGCTTGATTGAGAAATTCAGTGGGAAGGTGGTCTCTATACATATCAAAAAAGTTGTATGTCTTGTTTCTTCATGACTTTCTGGAATAGGATTGCACTTTATAAACTAATTCTCACTGACTTTCTGGGAAAGCAGGCAAAGAAGTCGGGACTATTCCTCTGGTGATGTGGGGTCTGCTACACTGTGGATGAGGCACTAGAAATTCACACGGACTACTGAGTCCTGTGGAGGGAAAGGGACAGCGTGGCTTCTCTATCAAGAGCAGAAAAAGCCTTAGCCCTTGCCTTTATTTCTTTTCTGGGCACATTACAGGATGGTCCTCATTTACTATGCACAGGTTCGCTTTAGGTGGTTACCTTTTACCGAAAACAAAGGAGATGATCCTGCTAATCACATCACAGAAGAAGGATATTTGCAAATGCAAAGGGAAAAGTGGTCGAACCAGTTACACTTCATACTGGGGGTTTTAGCACAGATTTTTAGAAAGTTACAGTAAGCACTTTCTGTCTCAATTCAGGATGAGGGAGTTTTAGCAAAAGCAAGTCTCATAGTAGTCTAGGCACACTGCAGGCCTGATTCCCCACTGGAGAACCTATTTGTGGGTGTGGGTCCTGTGCATCTCTGAGTGGGGGCTGGGCCCACTCCACACAGAATGGTCTCCTATACTCTGGCTCCTTACTTTCAGCAAGAAAATACAAAGAAAAGGCAGTCCACAGCCTAGCACCTGGTATGACATGGGTGTCTCTTCTGTAGGAGGCACCCACGTTGCATGAGCAGCAGGCGATTCACTTGGGGTGGCTTTCCTCAACATGCAGTTTCATGTAGGCCTCTTGCCTGCAAGTGAAGAGCCAGAGCCTCCAGGGCTCGATTTAGAAAGCAGGATTTCCTGGCACTTGAGCTGGATGCATTTCTGTAGTTCCTGATGGCCAAGCACGCACTCCTTCTGACAGATGCACGCCAGTGTCCTTGGCCTCAGTGACGCCCTCACTTGACCTGGAGAATTCTGATGATATGTGTCAGGGACAAGCTGAACTGGTTGCTTCCACACCCTCAGCCCAGTACAATCCACAAACTTTGTAGCGTGGAGAGTGCTATGACCAGGGAGGTAAGAAGGGAAGGCCTGACTCTTCCCTGTTCATCTGCCCCCTTTCTTGCCCTCCCAGCTCAGTGAGAAACTATGGTTATTTCTTTTGGCTGGTTAGGCAGCTTTCCAGTGTTAGCAAGTGGACAGCTTCCAGATGTGGAGGCTGCTACTTGTAAAACCTCAGGTATCTCTTCTCTATGCGCCCCAAACACGTGTTCCATCACTTACGCTGGAGAAGGTGTGAGTGCCCTCTGACAGAGTGCAACTAGGAGTGGGGTCACTGACGTTACGAATTCCCCCTTCCTCTGGGGACCATGTGTGCATTTGCTCATCACCGGTGGCCTAAATTGAAATTTGATTTTTTTCTGCATGGTGTGACCTGCACTTGACTTAGACCGGATTCTTTTCTTGTCCACTCAGGTCAGTTCCTGAACCAAGATGCCAGAGTCACAGGGGAGCCTGACGGGCCCAGCAAGAACACGACTGGTTCTCCCCTCCCAAAGGCAGGCGAGGTGTCTGCGACTGTTTTGAAGGTGAAAGGACACCAGGTCCCGGTGGTCTGGAAACAGAGGAAAATCTACAACGGGGAGGAGCAGGTAGACTGCTGGTTTGCCAGGAATGCTGCCCAGCTGCTTGATGGAGAGTACAAGGACTACCTGGCGGCCCATCCTTTTGACTCAGAGACTTCATTCGGCCTGGGAATATCCAGGGGACTCTGACACCAGCACCCTTAATGTCAGAGTGGCTGACAGGGAAATGGCCTTCGGGGACACTGTGGCATGGTCCTTATTGCTGGCCTGTGCCTGTCTCTTGGCAGTATGCTGTGACCTTTGGCCTGCCGCTGGTCGCCTATAGGTTGGACATCGTCTTGAGCAAAGGGTAGTATCAGGAAGCAGAAGTAAAATGTTTCCCCTGCTTCTTCCTCCTGTCCAACCTTATAGTTGGACATAAGGTCCAACATAAGTTTATGTTCGGCATATAGTCCAACATAAGGTTTCCTTCTGTACTATAGAGAGAGGTGGTAGCGCCAAAGGGGGAAAGGCCATGATTAAAAGCAGGAAGTCCATGTCTTGTACCAACTGGCTTGTCCATCTCACAGCCCATCATAAAGGAACTCTGATGAAGGAAGTTTGTCGCAAAGTTTGTTTTTTCTGTAGAAAAAGCCAAGTTTGGACACAATTGCTTTTCACCTTGTTAATGCTTAGGGATCTTTCCTCTTCATACTGCTGCATTCTCCAGATGTGTGGCCAGCCTCTGCTTCAGGGCGTTCTTTGGTGGAGCCCGGACCGTGGGTCATGTGATAGATAGCCTATAGATTTGATCATTATAAACTATTAAGTCTTTTCTTAGGAGAAGATTTTCTTCTACTGTGATACCTTGCCCTTGAAATTTAGTTTTCATTTTTATAAAAAAACTAATTAAAACTTAGAAAATCTACATCCCAGCTACCCATGTCTTTCTAATGGGTTTTTACTTTGCCAGTGAATATTCTATTTATTCCAGTAAGCTACATGCTTATAATAAAGAGGACAACTCCACATGGATGTTTTTACTGGCCCGTCTTGGTGCTGGATGAATGGCCAAGCTTTTACTAGGCACTTTTTGGCCTTCATCATCATCACGGCCTTCTTTGTCCAGGAGGTGATAAATTAGGCTCCCCAGGTACCGGACTGGGAGGCAGACACAGCACAGGGAGAGACTGACATACAGGAATCAACCTGCATGTTCTCAGCAGGAAGTACACCTGTGTACAGAGTCTAGGAAGCCTTTCCACACCTTGTGTAGGCAAAGCAGGGACTCAGCACGAGTCACGGGCTGTGGTTCCAGAGAGCGGACATAGCCAATCCCGTAAGGAACAGGTTAAATTGGGGAGGGGAGCTCCAGGAGTCACCGACTGTCCACCTTCTCATCGTGGGCACCCTCTTCGCAGCGCATCATATGATCACAGGACACGAGGGTGCTGGTGCCATCGGAGCCTTACTTCCTGCTCTCCTCGCCAGTTCTCGGTTTCAGTTTGGTCTCCTCAGGACCACTGCGGTTCTGAAAGTCTGATCCTCATTGAGTGAGGGGCACAGTCGGGACACAGATGGACACAGGGGGCACTTGTGTCAAACAGCAGAGAAAGATTTGGGCCAGAGACGTAGGATAGTTTGATGTGAGACTGAATGAAGTAAAGGCCTTCGTGCTGGCTTCACAGGGGTTGTCCCCAGTCGGGACCGACTCCAGAGCAGGCTTTCATGAAAAATGAAAGCATGCTTAGCACTTGGAGGGAAATCAGAGCTACAAAAATTGTTTGTCATACTTGCCTTCCCATGGGAACCATTTGAACAGCAAAACGACTTCCACGTGTTCCTGTTGGACCAGGGGATTAAGTTAGTAGCTGGGGACTTTTCAGTCTTCTCTCAGTCTCTCTCCTCTGAGTGCAGCCACTAGACGGTGGTCTGCCAGCTGTGTTATTTTTGACTCCCACCATCTCAGACTAGCCACCTGTTTTCATGCCAGCATGTGAAGATACCTGCCCAGACTGACAGATGCTCCCATATTTCAGAGCTCAGAGGAAGAGGAGGAGCATGAGCCAGGGCCAGCCAGGGAGTGGCCAGGCCCAACATACAACTGCAGTTCCAGCTGAGTAGATGTCCCCTGAGCCAGAGGTCAGCCCGCTGTGTTAACAGTGGGAGTAATGACCTGTGTTCCAGGTGTAGGCCTCAGAGCTGCAGAGAGGAGTCTACTGAGAGACATTCCCACTTCTTACTGCTTTTCAAGAGCAGCGGAGAATATTGCAGTGGCCTAACCATCGCTTCCTCTCCTACTTAGGAAAAAAAAAACAATTTTTTTAAGTATCAAGATTGAGCTCTTATTTTAAAGTTTTTACTTGAGACAAATTCACTTTTCTTTCTCCTCCTCTTCAGTTGTACATCTGTTTTTATTGCTAAAGGTATTTACCATTAAATTTTCTCTTCTCACCTGGAAACTGACATATGTGAGCTCAAAATTCCACACTGATGTTATACTTAGGGCCTTTTAATTTGATCGAAAAATGTAGCATTTTCTGTTGGCCATGTGGTGAAGAGTAAGCTATTTTGAAGTCAATGCAGGATGAAGGAGGAATTCTCTTCTCCTCTGGTAGGGAAACTGAGGCAGGGTACCATTGGGTGATTTTTCCCATGTTAGGTAAAAGACTCACAGGGAGACCAGGCTGAATTTCCAGAACTACTTTTGTTTGCTTTGACACATTTTCACCATCTGGGCAATCATTTATTTTCCTTGACCATTTATAAATTTACAGAGGGTAACTAAATGAGAAGTTAAATGAGATTGAGAAATAGGTTGCATTCAGAGAAGATAAATCACATGTGTCAACACAGCTAATGTGAAAGAGTCATAACAACTGATTAAGATCTTAAAAGTCTTCATCTCTGGCTTCCCACCCCCTCCCACATCTAAAAAGAAAGCCTTCTAATGGGTCATCTTGATTTAAAGTTTTACATTCTCCAAATAAATGGACTGAATGTTCTCTGCCCAGCCATGCTGGGTGGTTTACCGTCTTCCATTTGACTTTTCTATGATTTACTACTTCAGGCTCAAGGGAATAGGTGTTTGGGAGGACCAGCCATCCTGACACAGTGTCACAGCTGGGCTGTTGTGAGGCAGGCATGGGGTCGAGGAAGAGCACCTCTGTGTTTCTGTCAGGAATAACATTAAATCTTTAATGGAATCATGGACCCTTATAGGTGGATTTGGAACATGATTCGTGTCTTTAAATTTATCTCTTGTCTGAACCAAATGCTGTGGACTGAATGTTTTCGTCCCCCAAAATTCATATGCTGAAGCCTAACTCCCCCAGTGCAATGACAGTGGGAGGTGGGGCTTTGGGAGCTGACGAGGTCATGAGGGTGGAGTCCCATGAATGGGGTCAGTGTCCTTATAAAAAAAACTCCAGAGAGCTGATTTGCCCCTCCCACCAGGTGATAATGCAGGTAAAAGGTGACATTTATGAACCAGGGGGTGGAATATTATCAGACACCAAATCTGCCAGTGTCTTGTTCTTGAACTTTCAGCCTCCAGAATGGCAAGAAATGAATGTTCATTGTTTAAGCCCCCCAGTCTGTGGCATTCTGGATGTTACAGCCTGAGCTGGATAAGACTGAATCAGAGCACGGATTCTTTTCATTTCTTCAAGTTACATAGAAAGTATACAGATAATGTTGTCATTAAATTTGGAGAGCTCTTGGAACCAGAAGAACTTGATCGGCCTAAAGCTAACAGCAACTAAAGTAACACAACTAAACAAACACTTAGAAATGTAACTTTAAATATTTATTTTAGTCAGTTCAAAATAATAAGTAGGGTACAAGATAGTTCACATTCAAGAGACATTTTTCTTAAACAAAAATTTATATGAGAATGACATCTAAAAATAAACAACATATTGGCATGTTCATGTTTTGAAGGAAAACAGAATTAAGGCTCTGGAGAATAAAACTTGATAACTCTAACTGTACTTCTTGTTTGTAATAATTTATTAATTACATAAAAACATATGTAAATGGAGTAGTGAGTGACACTGGAAGAATAATAGCAAAACACATAAATTACCATGTAGAACAGCAAATGTACAGCAGCCATTCTTGATCTTTATATAAAACTGTCAAATAAGTAGAGAAGCATTAAACCTCTCAAATAAGTGAGAGCATTAAACCTCTCAATGCCATATTTTCTGGGACTCAGGCATCTCAAAGCTTTGATCACCTTCTTATTGGGTCACTCGTTCATACACACTGGCCACCATCTTGCTTGGAAATTTTTCCATTTGACTCTGGGTCTTTTCCTCCTCAAGGGGCATCTCCAGTTTATGGTCCTGGCATTCCCACCTCCAGACCCTCCAGTTCTGAGTGGCCTGCAGGTCTTGCTCAGATTCTGACTGAGCTACAATAAATTCTGAATGGAGCAGCACCTGATTAAAGCCTAACCAGACAGAGCATGAATAAGAGGCCACTGGGAGGCGGTGTTAAAAACAGGCCAATGCCTGATCTCAAGAGTGTGAAGCCGAGCTCTCTGGGTTTTGCTTCGTTCTTCTTCTTTGCTTCACTTTCTGTTTTCCCCAAAGTACATTGGCCTCGGTGCCTTGTAGATCACCTCACCCCTGAACCACACCCCCCTAATTTTCCATAGGAGGTTGCCTCCTATTTTTCTGAGAAAAAAGGAAGGAGCTTCCTTTTTACTGTCGGATATCAAGATGGCTCTATCATCACATGATTTATCTCCTTGCCCCCTTCTGCTTAGGTACAACTGTCTTCTTTTCTCCCAGCACCACTCCATTCTCACTTCCTCTGGGCAGTTGCCTGAATTATTCCTTTTCATTCTAGAATCTCTAAGCTCTTAATCCCCACCAGATTCTTCCCTCTTTATTTCAAGTATCATTTCAGAAGTCTCCTTTGGTCTGAAACTATTGTTCTTGCTTAGGGCTTCTATCTTCCCTCTTTTGTATCTGTGTCAGGCTTGCTGTGGTGGTTGGGATATGAACCCTCATTTTTCTTTTCTAACCTCCTACTCAGTTGCTTAACTCATCAGACTTGGCTTCTGTCTTCACCACGCCAATGGAACTCTATGTCAGATGTCATGTTCCCATTCCTGAGGTCCAGTTCCAGCCGTCAATATCTTCTACCTCGCTCGCTGCATCATGATATTGGTCTCTTCCTCTTTTAAAGTGATAGATCCCTATGCTTCTTGATTTATAATTTTTTCATTTTTATTTTATTAATTATGCCATTACAGTTATTCTATTCCCCCCTTCATTCCCCTCCACCCTGCACCCCTTACCCCTACCATTCCCCACCTTTAGTTTATGACCATGTGTCTCAAGTTCTTTAGATTCTATATTTCCCATACTATTCTTGCCCTCCCCCTATCTATTTTCTACCTGCCATCTATGCTACTTATTTTCTGTACCTTCTCCCCCCTTCTCCTTCTCCCACTCCCCTGTTGCTAAGCCTTCATGAGATCTTCATTTCTATGGTTCTGCTCCTGATCTAGCTGTCCTTTTAGCTTGCTTTTGTTTTAGATGTGGTTGTTAGTAACTGTGAGTTTGCTGTCCTTTCACTGTTCATATTTTTTTCTCTAGTCTCCTTTGCTCAATTTCTTTCCTCCTTCCAACCTGTGGACTTACCCTAAGACTCATCCTTCGTCCTCTACACTTTCCACCACACACTCTCTCCCTTACGGATCTCACTTACGTCGGAGCTCCATCACCTGGCTCTGCGGGGAAGGCTTCGCCATAAATCTGCAGTGTTGACTTCTCATGTTGGGACACTTCCCTTTAGTTATTCCAGCATCCTCTCAAGCTCAGGAACAAAAGCACACATTACATATTCAAAGGTCTACATTTTTAGTATAAGTATTTGGAATTTGTGATTTCGGTAGATAGGAAGAAGATCTAGCACAGTCCTTTTTTATTTTGATTGTTGCAAATAAATGTGGAAATGGCTATATGTGTGCGTTTGTGTTGGTACATTTCATAGGCCAACTCAAAATTAATTTTTATTGACACAGCATTCTTTCTGAAACTTTTCTGTTGGTCACATTTTCTCAAAACAACAGCTGTGTTTGTGTAAGAAAAGGTTCAGCATCCTGACTGCTCACTGGGAATTTCTTGTTATATAAGATGAAAATCACATGCACTGAGCTTATTTATGTATCATTAAATCACTTCGCTGAACTATTAGTACAACATTCATTATAAATACACTTTAATATGCTTTTTACAAATAAATTTTAAAATGTATAAGGACAACACAGAAAACACAATACTTGAGATATTTAAGTGTGAATGAATGCATGAGTGATACATGTACATTCTTCTCCTGTTAACTGTCCTCCTGGAAGTCTGCCTCCCATTTCCAGGATCTTTCAGCCGTGACTGTAATTATAAGCTCTCTCATTGTTATAGAATGCTGAAACCCAGATTCTATCCTGAAATCTCACATGAAATGTTAAGTTACAAAAGAAAAAAAAACTTTCTAGGGGAGGGCAGCAACAGTTCAAAGTCTGAAGACTCATCTCAACAATGAAGTATATTTGCTTTTGAAGAAGGCTTAGAACATTTCAGGAATATTCTAGAAACTGAACATTCTCCTGGAACACTCTAGAAACTAAAAGGTCTCTTATACAACTTGGAGACAACTATTTATTTTTTCAATCTCTTCATCTGCCTTCCTGTAGAAAAAAAATGGGACACTTTGAGAACCTGTGATGAAAACATAATGTAAAACTTTATTATTGAGCGACAATAGCATTTTGAATTGTTCATGCAATTTTCCCAGGTAAGAAAATACTTTAAAACAAATATATTCACTCACCCATTCATTTAAGTAACACTTAGTGGTCACTAACTATGTGGAGGGCGCAGAGTGGCCTCCCTCCCCGGCCCTGGAGATGATGTTTCATGTAATTAGTTCTTAGAAAAGAGACTGGGCAGTGTGCCCTTACAAAGGCTCAGATAAAATGTGCGGGGGCTTAAAAAGGAAAGAGACTTTCGGCCGAGGGTGGAAGAGGCATTGGCATTGAATCTAGTTTCACAGAACTGGTAAGGTCAGAGAGGAAAAATGTGTAGGTGTATTTTATATAAAAGCATATATATTCTTACCAGAGACATGAAAATAAAGAACAAACTGACAGTGACCAGAGGGGAGGAGGGGCGATAATGGAGAAAGGAGGGAACCCGTACGTAGGGCCCATGGACAAGGACAGCAGGGAGAGGATTTTCTTTGGGAGCAGGGTTTGGACGAGGCAAGGGAGAATGATGGGGGGAGAAGTGGGGACAACTGTAACTGAACAACAATAAAATAAATACATTTTAAAAACACATTATTCTTAATAAATAGCACCATAAAGGAAAGGAAAGTGAACTGTACAGAAAAACTGAAAGTCAGGGATGTAGATACCTTGCCCTCACCACAGAGCTCTGTGAGCTCAGGCTTGGCTCTGCTCATGAGGACGGGAGGCTTTGGACAAATCAGAGTGGGGTGCAGCTTCTCCTGTGACTGTCACAGGCTGCTGGCCCCTGAGCTGAGGACCCCCTCTGTATGTCAGCTGACTATCACAGGACGAAGAAGAAAGGATGGTGATGGGTGTCCCCAGATGCAGAAACTCCAGCGTTGCTTGTTCCCCTCTAAAAGCAGGTGTTCACTATACTGAATGTTGGGCTTTCAGCCTCTGCTCTGGGCCCAGAGTGGGCAGGGAGTTCTGCCGGGGTGGAGACCACATCTTCCTCCCGTTCCCTTGGAAACAGCATCCTAGGAAACAGCTCTCAGTCGATAGTTTTCTGTAGCAAGTCATTGCTCAAAGGACATGGACATACATCTGGAGAGCTCAGGTGTGGAGAGCTAGTGGGGGAAGAGGGTGCTAACCCCAACCCAGTTACATGCACAGAAATGGAGAGAGACAGAACTCAAGTGAACATTCACTGGCTAATGTCACCTGTCTTCCTTGGGAGAGGCTCAGACAATGCAGCTACTGGCATGATTAATGAGCTGTTGGACCGCACCTG